AATCTAAGTCCCTAAGCTAAGATTATTTGGTAAGAAACTTTTCACCATGTGTTTTCTTCAAGCATTTTCATCAAAAATCTCATTTTTCGCAAAACTAAGTCCCGAAGCTCTTACCAAGAGATGATGAAATCTATGATTTTTGCCTCCAAATCCTTCTCCTTAGCCTACAATGTGATGCTCTAGACTAAAGGTTGGAGGTGGAGACTAAAGGTTGGAGGTGGAAGACGACCAAGCAGCAAAAATGGAGGTTTTTGGTGCGATTACGCCGGGTTTTTTAGCCAATATGGCTTGTTTGGACCTTTAGCGCATCATTCGCCAAATCAGGCACATCATGTGTTAAGCCTCTGTAAGTTGGTGCATCATGCGCTAAGGCTCTGTAAGTTGGTGCATCATGCGTCAAAGCGTATTTTTGTCAAATCTTGGATTCTGTGGAAATCTGCTCTGTACCGCTTTACGTCAACCTTTATTTGACTCAAATAAACCTTTCTAAGTATAATTAAACATCAAACTAACACCAAATTTCTACAATCAACACAAAACTCATATTTATATACGAAATTTGCGTTATTACAAACTAACATTTTTCAAGCCAACACATAAAAAGTTCAGTGTTCTAAAGCAAACCAACATCTTAACATTGAAATCTAAACATCAAACTTCAAATTAATAAACATAGATAGTACAACAATCGAAAGTAAAGGTAATATAAAATAACAAACAATACTAGACAAAACATTATATGCTTAAATAAACTTTAAACATCTTATTCACTCTTGTCCTCCTGAATATTTCCCATAGACTGGTAGTGCACATACAAATTGTAGAAGGGCCTAAATGGAAATTCATCAGTTGAACTTTTCTCCTCAATCCACACATGCTTCTTGAACATATGTACTAGACCACCTTCAATACGCCCAGTATGTTCAAAATGTTCCTTGAGTCTCCAATCCAGGTGATCCATCATTTCAAAAATATTCTCAATTGCATGCATAAGATTATGCACCCCTTTCTCTATCTTCTTGATTCTCTTTGAAAGTGCACTCGAGTTGTAATAAGGCTGAATAGGTGATGAATTTTGGGATCCTTGATCCATTAGTATAATTATATTATTTTCATCTCCCATTCCAATGCAACTGTAGTAGACTTCAGGATCCATCGGCTTCCAAGGTAGTAGTACTTTCTCCTAGTACTTTCTCCCAACTTTCATAAGGTACTTGCGATTGACTGTAGAGTTGGAAAATAGTAGATGGAAGTCCCAATCAAGTTGCAAATCCATTCATGATCAAACCTAAAACTGATTTTACAATTATGGCTTCAATATCAACAAGTTTTCCAGTTTGAATGCAGTATTTCAGAATAGTACTCTCCTTAGTGACCATACTAATTTTCATAGTATGCAGGAATTTCAAGGAAATGAAGAAATGTCATTCCTTTGAAGTATGATTTAACAATGATGCAGAAAAACTCACATTCTCATCATCTCGAGCTTCCCAATTAGCATCTCCATCTGTAAGGTAACGGTAGAGTTCATCTATGTTGTCTCTTGTAGGGGTAAAATTTGCATAATGGCAGACAGGCAAGTTCTCGATCATAAACATTTCGTTGATTCTCAAAGGAGTGAACTGCACAAACCTGTCTTGCAGGTAGATCATTCCTTGGTTGATCCCATGAAGATTTGCATAAAATTCTTTCACCACAGGGACGACTACAGCGGCAGTGGTGTAGCAAAGCGTTTCCCAACGCCTTTGCACAATAACTTCTTCGACACGAGTATTTGGTGTGTTGAATACTTGATTCACAAATCCCCTCTTTGATAAGTCTTTTCTTCATTATAACTCGATCATGCAACTTCTGTGCGTCGAAACTGATGAACTTTCTTCGATTGAAAATTCCAATCTAGCAAAATTTCTAGAGTGAGAAGCCATAAAAATTGAAAAGTGGTGACTCTTCCCTTGTTTTCCCCTGTAAAATATGTCTTGGAGTCGATTTTTAGGAGTTATTTGAAGGTCCCCGCCAAAAATCGCCAAAAAGCGCCATTTGAAACGATTTAAGTCATTTTCGTCTTTGTGGTGCATCATGTGCCAACTCTCTGGAAGTTTGTGCATCATGCGCCAATCTGGCGCATCATGAGCTAGTTCCAAAATTTTGGCCGTTTTGATTTTCATCAAATAAATTGTCTTTTTACAACATTAGGCAAACAAAGATGTTTCGAAAAACATAAACATACATTTAATAGTTTAAATAAAAACTAAAAAATCAAAGTAAACAACGATACATATGGGTTGTCTCCCACAAAGCGCTTGGTTTAATGTCGTCAGTCTGACATCCCAGTCTCACATGATACTCTATTTAGCATTTGGTCTTTGACCATCAAAATAATGTTTCAATATGTGTCTATTCACTTTAAACATTCCTTCAATTTTGAGATCTTCAATATTGATTGCTCCATAGGGATAAACTTTTATAATTCTGAATGGTCATTTCCACCTAGACTTCAATTTTTCAAGAAATAATTTCAATCTTGTATTATATAATAAAACTTCCTGTTCATGTTCAAATTCTCTTTTTACTATCTTTCAATCAAGCCATTCTTTCATTATTTCCTTATAAATCATCACATTGTCGTAAGATTCATTCCTAATTTCTTTAAGCTCATTCAATTGCAATAATCTTTTCTCACCAGTTTCTTTTAAATTAAAATTAAATTCTTTTATTGCCCAATAAGCTTTTTGTTCTAATTGAACTGGCAAGTGATAAGTCTTCCCAAAAATTAATCTATATGGGGACATTCCTATTGGTGTCTTATAAGCTGATCTGTATGCCCATAATGCAGTATCTAATCTAATAGACCAATCCATTTTGTTAGGATTAATACTTTTCTCCAAAATTATCTTAATTCATGATTAGATACTTCCGCTAAACCACTAGTCTGGGGATGATAAGCAGTTGCAATTTTATGTATTATATTATATTTTTCCACCAATTTTACAACTGTTGCATTTCTAAAAATAAGATCCTCCATCAGTAATGATTACTCTCAGCATATTTCTAGAGATTCTACTCAAGTATGTATCATTATCAAGTAATATAAGGCTTTCTGATTAAACCACGAATATCAATCTCACGGAAATCGACGTTAACCACGGTGACTTTCAAGAAAAATTCTAGTTTAAAATAACACGCCCTAGCTTTGAAGGTCGATAAAAGTTCGGTTTTCATTTTATCCTACAATTATCACTACAATACTACTTCTACTTCTAAATTAAAATACTTAGTGAAAATCAGAAAGTGGGGTTTTTAATATATTAAAAGTACTCTTCCTCATGCAATGAAAGTAGTGACATGTATAAAGTGTAAAACAAGTAATGAGAGAGATTGTGACACATAGGAGCAATTATATTATTTACCCTTACTAGAGATGTTATAAAGAACATTGATTAATGTAAAGTTTGAATAGTTTTGAAGATGGACTAGGCAGAGAAGATACTAGCTCTCACTCTAGAGTTCCCTTTTATCCCTCCACCTGGAGGCTAACATCTCGCATCAAAACCTAAAATAATAGACCAAATTAGGGGCTTTAGCATGTCACTCTAAAGTTCTCTAATTCTAAACCCTTAAAAAGTTTATTTCCCTATTTATTTACACTCAACCCCATGAGCTAGATTCTCATCCATGAAATTAATATGTGATTCAAACCTTGAGACAATACCATCTCGGATCTTATTTGTTCACACAACATATTTTAACATACAAGTTGATCAAGTTTACATGTAAATGAAGAACAAAGTAAAATCATCACAATATATTCTCACTCTACTCGATTCTATATCCTACACATGCATACTAATTCATTACAAGAGGGAAGAGTAAAGAAAACTACTCACTACACATTGAGAAACAACAAGAACTTTTCATTGAACAATACTTTGAAAACATATAAACAAAGTATTAAATTAAATCAAAATATAATGAAAATACTTATCGCAGATAGAAATCAAACTCTCCTTGTATAGCAAAAGCAACATGTTGCTTTTAGAGTTGAGGCTTGCATTTTATGCTTACGTTCAACCAACAAATAACGAAATCCAATTAGACTTCATTTTCCTTTTGTTGCATCTGCATCAAATCACTCATGACGACCTGATGATGCACCCCAACAAATCTATTCACGAATGTGTCCTCTAATTTGAAGAATGTTCTGAACGTGTGATTTAATAAGTTGACATAGAAATCCTATCAAACTAATGATGTAAAAGAAAAGGAGCAATGTGTCATTATTGCCCACGTTGCAACAAATTGCTCTAAACTGAACAATTAATACATATATATAAAGATTTAGGTGTTATATATTTAGGATAATAAAAATTTATGAAGTACGAACATACCAACCTTTAAAGTTAGAACTCTCTTTTTGTAGTTTAAATATAACAATTAAACCTTTTTTTCCTGAAAAACTCATGGTACCTTAAACCCTCACTTTATGCCTTTTACGTTTCTAAAATACAACAAAATCTTATTTAATTTCTCATAATTAAAATTTAACTTATTCATCTCCTTATTACTAAAGTTAATCCCTCCCTCTTTTTCCGAACACACGCACATACATATAAACATATACATGTAAGTATATATATATATATATATAT